AGTTTTGTAGAGCGTCAAAAGGCGCATCTTTTGATAAAAAAATATTGGTTCTAAAGTACTAGCAAGGTCCCGAAAAGTCCATGATAATGCTGATTATTGCACGGGTTCGAAAAAGAATTTTTGCCGCCATTCTATAAGAAGTCCATATAGTTCGATAGAGGTTAGTGTGCTGATGACAAATATCACATTTTTTTAAAAAATTAGTCTGATAATAAGAAAGATCTGAAGCACTTTCTGAAAGTTCTAAAACTAGTTTTTGACCTGTAGATCCATGAAAACCCTACTCACGAGGGAAGGTCACCAACTGTCTCCTCGCTTTTGAGCTGAAACTCAGTTAACAATAGGTAATCGAACGTGCTGATTACGAATATCACAATGGTTTTTCCCCGCTTTCGATTTAAAGACCTGTTTTTTAAAGATATTGGTTTCTCAACCGAAAAACCATTTTCACTAAAAAATTTTCTTGACCTGTCCAAATGAAAGAGCACATCGTCAAACCTACAGAAAACAATTTTTCAAAGTTCTAAGCGAGGTTTTGAGCGAGTTTTCTGCGTCTAAAACTTAAAAAAAGAGGGAAAAACCGCTAATATTCTTACACAATTGATGAAAGAAAAACTACTAGTTTTCATTCTGTTCTGTTTTTTTACTTATCAAAGGGGTTCAAAGAGGAAGGCTGCATGCATGTGTTAGACATGATATACATCATGATACTTTCCAATTTCACAAGAATTTGGTAAAAAGGAAAAACTGAGCACCGATAGCAGCTATAGAAAAATTTTCAAAGCATGTGAGATGCATAATTCAGTGCAAAGAACAAAGAACGGAAGAAAAATATTTATAAGAGCAGCAGTCTATAAAAATATATGTAATTTTAACACTCTTACGGAGTGTCAGAGTTATATAACGTTTGACACCAAAAAAGAAAAACAGTAATTTTTCTTTCATCAATTGTGTAAGAATATTAGCGGTTTTTCCCTCTTTTTTTAAGTTTTAGACGCAGAAAACTCGCTCAAAACCTCGCTTAGAACCTTGAAAAATTGTTTTCTATAGGTTTGACCAGGTGCTCTTTCATTTGGACAGGGCAAGAAAATTTTTTAGTGAAAATGGTTTTTCGGTTGAGAAACCAATATCTTTAAAAAACAGGTCTTTAAATCGAAAGCGGGGAAAAACCATTGTGATATTCGTAATCAGCACGTTCGATTACCTATTGTCAACTGAGTTTCAGCTCAAAAGCGAGGAGACAGTTGGTGGTCTTCCCTCGTAAGATGCAAGTCGAATTCAACAAAAACACGCCAGTTGAATTTTCTATTAGAATTATATTTCAGCGAATTTGTGAAACTAGTACTGTCGAAAATCAATCATCGTAGAGTAATCACTGAAGAAATTATCAATGAAATTAATCACTCTTGTAAAAAATGTGACACGATCATATATTTGGTCTATGTAACTCTTCTTCTTACAACTGTTGAACAAATTATACTTTGTATTGTTTTAATATAGAGCCCTGCGATTTCGTTTTGTAACAACGAAAAAAAAAACCGGTTTCAATTCGGTTCTTAAACAGTGTCAAAAAAAAATTACTAATGGGAATGGTTTTTAGTCAAATTTATCTTTCATTTTTCGAACTTGTTGATATGTATTATTCTATTGAAAACTTAGTTTCTTCAAAAGATAAAACAAAAAGAAAAACGCTCTGAGAAGGTTGTAAATGTAGTTGTTGATAGTCTCTTCCCCCACACTTATACCCTGAAAGACTCTAGTTATCAGTAAGAAAATTCTCGGCTCCAACGATTCATAATCCGGTATACTTTTGTTTGTGTTGATGAGTAAGCTTGTGCGATAGATCGAATACTTGATTCTGACTCATTTCCACTAGCATCCATAACTTTTTCTTCAGTAGTTACCCTACGGTGATCAATTTTCGACAATATTAGTTTCACAAATCGCTAAAATGTGGTTCTAACACAGGATTCGATTGACGTGTTTTTTTTGAATTCGAGCTGCACTTTAGCTGATTCGAATTTGACCATTAGGAAAAATATTTTAATTCTGATTTCTGTACATACGGATATTTTATCTGAGAACTTTAATATGTGATTAAGCTGTACAAAAATTAAATTGCTGAAGAGTTATTCATGTTTTTTTTTGTCGTTCGGACTTTTGGAACACCTTATATATAAAGTATAAAATAAATAAAATCAAAGGTGAATTGTAGAATGCAAAGATGATAATATTGATCCCATATTGTGATTATCTTTATTTCAAATGGAAAAAAAACTGAATACAATAAAAATTATTTTGAAAGGTTCAAGAAATTTCACGAATGTTTATCTACGAGGAACAAGTAAATCACGAATTATTGGATCATTTTGACATCTAGAAAAAAACCAAATTAGCAAAAATTAAAATTCATCAAAAAAAAAGATTTATAACATCATACCCTTTAATAAATTCTTCTTTACTTAATTTTTTATCACCACTAATATCAAGTTTTTTAATAATTTCTTTTGCTCGTTTCTTCGGATCTCGATCCCCTTTGCGATCGGCTACACCGGTATAATCGTACTAAAATATAAACATAAATTATCTTCAATAATAATTCAAAAATGAAACCGACTATAGCCGATATGGCATCAGCTAATTCTTTTTGATCAATACGTC